GGTGCTTGCAGCAGCTACTGTAAAGCTTCTTGAGCAGTAAAGTTGTCCGAATACATTCAGTCTTCCCAGACTTGCGATTTGGGGATCTTTCTGGTGTCGAGACAGCAACTAGCCCTCGATAGACCAATCGCTCCCCAGGCTACGTTGACCCCTGAGATTCTCTGAGATAACCCAGAGTTTCAACAACAATAACCACCCCTCCAATAGGCACGCTGTGAGACTTTCCAAAAGGTGAAGAAGCTGCGGCCGAGATCCATAGAGAGGCCCTTTCAGTTTTCATATTGATACTAACAACTTACTAGCAAATTTTAAATATATTGGATTTCGGCCTATCCAAACATTTAATTTATTGTGTTAACCAATAGGAGTTGTCTAATATTCTTATTGGCCAATAGGCATCATTAACTGGACCAAAAGGCGTTTGGATTTGTCAATTTTCTTCTTTCCTGATGTTTTTCACACGTATATTTCGCTCACTCAAACACTCTTAAGTGGCTTTAATTTATTTTCTAATGTTCACTCTCCATGCATTAAACACACGAAACCGACTCCTTAATCAAGCATAAAATCTTAAACCACGAATTTTTTAAGAAACTTGGGCAGGGAACTTTTACAATTTGGTGCCCCACAGTGAACCGCTACCGAAGCTGCGTTATGAAAACAAGTCAATAATAGTTCGTGTGGTTAATCGCAAAATGGTAAGGAAAAACTCTCATAGAATAACCTCTTTGTGCTCAACTTCAGCAAGATTGCTCCTAATCGATGGCATCTCTGTGAACTAAAAAATACACAAACAAAGTACCAACAACTTACGCTATTTCCTACGCACTCAATGAAAAATGCGCCCCTTTATGTTCTGTTCTCGTGCGTACCTTGGGTGGATTTGTCGATAAAGGTACAAGAGGGGTATTGGCTTTAGTAGCCTGAAAGTCATAACAAATACCTACTTTGTGCCTGGCGCCTAACCTCGATAAGTGACTCTACTGGGCTGTGTTGAAATCAGCAGCCCCACTCTGGTAATTCTTTCAACCGCCGAATGTTAGTAGACTGAATCTCTCTAACAACATTTGCATGGTGTGAGAAGGGGATCCAGCCGTGTCCTGGAAGACGTAAAATTTGGCTAAGACAGCTTATTTCTTCTTCTACTGAATTAAGTGTTGCCAATGAAGCACAATGCATGCTCGCATAGCGAGAAAGTTATGATACACAGGCTTCCTCAGCATAATCCAATTCAAATTGTTGCCGCTCCGAGGAATTTGTAAGTATTGCCTTATATATATATATATGTGGGGGGTAACCATGCACTGATTAGTAGTGATAATTCGGATCCTCAATCATTCCGCTTGTTAGGCGTGGAGAGACAGTCTCAGTATTTTTTTAGAAACACCCAGCACAACACTGGTAGAAAAACCAACTTTTTCCACCTTCTAAGTCCATTAGTCCTTAAAGATGTTCAAGAGAAGTAAAGAACAATCCTGCATTCTACCAGTCCTGTCACAAAAACCCTCATAGAAATGCGGCTACAAGACCAAGTAAACTCACTTCTCTAATAGGGCGGGACGCTGGGGAGAAGACTGACTGGCGGAGACATCACGAATACCATTTTGGCGGTCCTCAGCCAGCATCCAGATAGGCTTGTTGGACTCAGATATTTTGCCAAACTCGGCTTCGTGGGCTCGAGTGAGAACCTCCTTGTAAAGGGCCTCGGCCTTCTCGTATTTGGCCTGTTCGAGGTAGGCTGATGCCTAAAGGGATGAGGCGTAAAAAATAAGAAGAATCATTTGCTGGCAACAGTTGGAGGTGCAACATGCGATAATAACCACATAAAAGCATTCAATGTGACGTGGTAGAACGCAGAGACGTAGACAGGCTAACCGCCCCCTCCATCTGCAAGTTTCTGATGGGGGAACGCTGTGATATGAGCATAATGACAGAAGAGCATAGTCAGGGTAGAAGTCATGCGAAATGTACAAAGTGAATACCCAGTCAGAGGCACAGGATAGATTAGTCTGTTGAAGATGGGGAGGGATGCAAAAGGATATCGTCTTGGGCACAACTGTTACTTTGTTAGCAGTCAAGCAAGGTAACTTAGCGGACGCACATGAACTATTCTTAAGAGGTGTATGGCAGATACGAATAATAACATTGACCCAATTTTGAAAAATTCGTGGCCTCGGTGTGATTCGAACCCACATCAGCAGAGAAAGCGTTAGTACAGCCAACGCTCTACCAATTGAGCTACGAAGGCACTCCGAGGGCCGTGAATTTAATGACACTCGAGTTGACTTACCCGCCCAGCCTACGGCCTATTCCCGCCGAACGCCTCGAGTTTTTCACAATTGGGTCAACTCAAATTAAGTAAATCTGCCAAACTT